AGAGTTGTCTGAACAAACAGTTATGTTATCTTACTGCGTGCTCCCAGCATGGTGTTCAGCATGGAAATGTTATCAGATTACTCTTTGTTTGTTGAATATTTATGCCGATGTTGTTGTCATCATCACTGTTGGGTATCTGCTCAATTGTGAGACTGAAAATTCACATTTTTGATTTGTTGTCAAGATTATTAAAGGGACAGCTGGCCAAAAAATTAAATTGTTCTCACTATTTATTTTTTTAAAGAAAGCTTCTATTGAAGTTAAGGGTTACCGGTAGGGATGTCGCAATCAGGTTTTTTTGCCCTTAAGTCAGAGTCCTTTGATTTTGAGTATCAACCGATACCGAATCCGATCCGATATTTCTATAATGCATAAAAAAAAATAAAGAAGAGCGAAGAAACAGATCCAGGATGTTGCTTTTTTTATTTAATTCACCTTATTTTAACATTCAACAAATAATTTAAAAAATAAAATAAATATTTTATAAATAAAATCAAATAGCACCTCGACTTAAAACACCTGTCAGACAATCCCAAGTTTACATATCTCACAGTTTGCTACGGCAATGTTATATCGTCATCAGCTTTATGCCTCCAGACCAGGGGCCTCATGTACGAAGACTTGCGTGGAAATCATACTAAAACATTGCGAACGCACAAAGCTGTAAATGTGCGTACGCAGAAAAAAATCAGATGTATGAAACACCGCGTACGCCGAGTCTCACGCATATTCTTTTGTACATCTAAATGAACGTGAAACTGAGCGCAACATGCACGAGCACAAAACCCCTCCCTGCCTCCTCCCCCGTATGAATATGCAAATTACTCTACTTTGGAAAAACCCAACGAAAAAGCAACGGCAAAAGAAGGCAAAAATAGAAACTTTGAACAGTGTGAATTGGAGGTGCTCCTTTCGGAGGTAGACCGGAGAAAAGCGGTGTTATTTGCAAGTTTGTTCTCCGGAATTAACAACAAAAGAAAAAAATAGAGTGGGAGAGTTTAGCTGATGCGGTTAACACAGTTGGGTCTGAACATCGCACTGAGTGAATTATAAAGGAAATATTGTGATTCATAGGTGTAAACTGTTGCAGTATCCTTAACGGTCTCAGTGGCGCGCTTGTAAGACACATGTCTACATGTTTTGACACGTTCGAGCATGAACTTGGTTCGAATCCAGCGTCTGATAAACTCTTTTTTTTTCCCCCCGCTACATATTAGATTTTGCTAACTATTTATCACGAGAAAGACTAGTAGGAATCATTAATAAGTTTGTACATCATATTTTATTTGCACATTTATTGAATGGAAATGTTTCTGATTCACGCATGCAAATTCATCTTCAGATAGTGTCTTTATAGCAATGTTCGTGCAGTAGATATAGCTCAGATTACATTAGGAAAACAGGCGACTGCTGCAAATTGTGCTTTAATGTTTAGCTGGTCAACTGTATGGTATGGAAACCATACATACCTGCTAGATGAACCCGTCTCATACAGCTGCCATTGCAAGGCTCAGACACTTTGTAGAGAGGAATTTAACAACTGCCTCTAGGAGTCGCCAATGGAAATAAAACAGACACGCACAAAAAATGTGCGTACGCCTGCCAGAAAGCTGCCGTGAAGCTGCGCACATTCCCATGTTCAGTTCATTGTTAGTAAATCCAAACGTGAGCGATTCTGAGCGTAAAACCTGGCGTACGCAAAGTTTTTGTGCGTACGCAGCGTTGATACATGAGGCACCAGATATTCTGTGTTCTACTTTGCCGGCATTTAACCAACAGCGCCTCTGCAACAAAGTAATGTCAAGTTGCTGTTTCTGTGTGAAGTCAAAAAAAGGGTCTAACTCTGTGCCACTGCATACCTATAGATGTGTTAAAATAATAATGAGATTATACTGCATATTAGAGGCCTGATCGAGAGGCAACATCTGATTCTGATCGAGTCTGAAACCGCGTAATTGGGCCCAATTTTCGAACACGTGATAAATATCTTCTTTTGTGTTCAACAGGAGAAAGAAACTCATAAAAGATTGAAACAAGCAACCTTTAGTAATTGTTGACAAAAATGTTATTTTCAGAAGAACCATCCCTTTAAGCCTATGTAAACACTAATCCAGAGGCATAGTTTTTTTCTACATTTTGGCCATGTGTCCACCGGAAGTTTAAGCACTTGTACTGCAAAAACTAGGTAAACCTATAATAATAAGAAAACATCAGTTTGCAAAATCAAGCAGCAAAACTAGCTGTTTTACTGTCTAAAAATGAATGGAAGTGAATGAGACCAGAAGTATACAGTCAAAAATATTCAAATGGCTGCGTCCGCTCGTACATGAAAAATAAAGCGAATAAGTTGAAGAAGGGGAAGGGGGATTATAAAGTTGAAAATTCGGGGGTGCTGATAACGTTGTAGAGCATGCGTGTTGGTTGTGGTTACGACAATAAAGTTGAAGAACAGAGGGGGGACTTGATGTGCCCCAACACAACCCGCCTCAGGGTACCTCATATTCTAGGGCCATATGCACTCTGTAACAATCCACTCTTAGCTTTTGCCAAAGATACTACTAAATAGCCTCCATTAAACTTGCCTCTCCCCCAAAACCTCATTCCCATCCGGGTTACGGTACCAATGTAATTCCAGCAGTTCTACTTGCACTGCTCTGAACAGGATTTAAACCTGCATCTTCTGAAATCCGAGGTAATTGTGCTAGCATGACACTAGCATTAGCATACTCTAGCATCAATGCTTCTGCTCTCTCCTACTATCTGACATAAACACTCTGAATGGGATTTATACCAGTGGCAAGTGCAGACATGAATGTTTTGGTAAAAGCTTGAAAACTGTGAATATGTGAATGGAAAGTTTTTTGAAATGAAAGCACTCCTCCAGCACTTCCAGTTCCACACATCTCCAACATTGGAGGTGAATGTCGGCGCCAGTGGTGTAGTGGTTAGGGCGTCGACACATGCGCTCCGGTGCTTACGGCGACCTGAATTTGATTCCGCCTCGTGGTCCTATGCCGATCCTTCCCCTCTCTCTGCTCCCCATGCTTTCCTGTGAATTCTCTCTATTTTCCTATCCAATAAAGGTGAAAACCCCGAAAAAATATTTATAAAAAAAAAACCATTGGAGGTGAATGCGCAATGAAGGACTATAGATTTATTCATTTTTTCGTTTCTGAATGGTTTCTTTTTACATAACATACAACGCCACATCATCTGTAAACCAGTCTAGCAGTTCAGAAATAATTAGGCCCGGCACAACACACAAACATGACTTCAATCATTTTTCATCATGCAATCTATATGGCCCATACATAAACAATTCTAGCAACATTTTATCTAATTGTGCAACATCTCTATCTCTATTGGAGTTATCCATGTCAGTATGGTTAAAAAAAAGCACTTGAGTATTTACCTGATAGCAGATATCACAGACTCTGTTCATTTTTATCTTGCACTTTTTTGTTAACATTTATTATTATTTATCTAGAATGTGGGTTTTAACATTCTGATTGCAATATCCAATTATTAAATTGTTATTAATAATAATATAGTTTATCACAGTATATTCTGATGCAATATATTGTACAACAAAAAATAGATATAGTGACAGGCCTAGAAATGATTCAATTATGATCAAATGCATAGTCCTGTTCTACTTCCTATTCCTTAAACAACAATAAAAATGCACATTAATAAACATGTGGCAGCTTTACCCCTAGAGCCACAGTTCACTATTTTTAAGAGTGATCAGAGCTTTGGATCTGCGGCCGTTTTTAAATGTCTGAGCTTTGATTTCAAACAGTGCTGGTAGCTCAAAACAAGAAGGAATCATGGGAAGAGTCATGGGAATACAAGTCAAACTATGTCACGTTGCATTTGACTAAGTTTGAGCAATAATACTTGAAAGTTTGAAAGAATCTTTGACTTTTAGCCAGGCATCTACACATTATTTTCCAGTTTGGACAGGAAAGTACAGTATTACAGCACAGTGTTTAGACTGAATCTACGCAAACATACCATGAAAGCAAACAAAACCCCAGCTAGTTTCAGCAAACAAACACAAGCCGTGACATGGAGTCCTGAAAACAAGTCCTCAAGGCATTCAGTAAACAAAATACATTTGCTTTTTTTATTGCTATGTTTTTATTGGATGTGCTATGTTTAATTATGTTTTTAACCCTTTAAAAAAACAAAAAGCAAGCATAGGCAATTTAAAATCTCGTTTAAAATTCTCAACATTTGTCCAATGGAAGATGCTGTATGACTCCTGATGACTGCTTATGCTGTAATGTGATGATTTGATTTAAAGTGTAGAACGAAAGTAAACTATGATCGCAGTAAAGACAGCTGAACTAGCCTTACCTATACATGTTTTTCTTTAATATTATGTTTCAATAATTAATTAAAAAGCTTAATGGCTCATGAATGTACTAGGGAAATTATAGCTAACTCAGTTGACTTGCACTGAAAAAATAATAATTAATGAATGAGTCAAATATTCAGTATCACCTCCAGGTAGGCAAATTTAATTAACATTACTATTTTTGTTAATAACTTTATTAGATGTGTCTTCTCTGAGCGAGGAAATGATACAAAGAAAAATAACAGCAAAAAAAAAGTAACTAATAAATTAATAAAATTTTGCTTCTATGTACGTATATACAAACTTGTGGGATTTTTTAGTTATCTGTATTTATAAATGTTAAACAAAATAAAATGACATAAGTTAAATATGTTGACAATTAAAACACTCACTTTCAGTGTTTAAACATGGCACAATGATCTGTTCGGTCAAATGTGCACATAAGCGTAATTAAAACTTCAGTTTAGCTCTTGTGTTTGCTTCAATCTGCTCCTCAGCAGTTCATAAAACTGAGCTTTTCTGAGATTCTACATAAATATTTAACAGTAAAGAGGGCAGGTTTGGACAATACGTGAGCATATTTTAAGTTTCTTTTCACACATTTTGGACCAACCATGTGAAAAATAAAAGAACTTACCCATCTTGGTCTTGGTAATTCACATTGAGCCTCTTCGTGGAGCCCAGTAACTCTAGGAAAACAGATGGAAATAAGAGTCAGGACGTGATGTGGTGATGTTTTCAACAAATCATTCAGCTGCTGATCCCTCCATTAGAGAGGTATGAGGCATGATGATGTTACGGCATGAAAGCACTTGTTTCAGACTTTCAACAGTCAATTGTTTAGTACTCAAAACCATGTAGACCGATGGTTAAGTCATGTTTTTTTGTTCTATGAGGAACACAACATTCATCAAGTCTATATTTCGTTATCCTCAATATTTATATGTAAATGCATGGTTTGTGATGTCATGGTGACAATTATTTCAGCATATAAACGGAAAAGTCTCCAAAAATGATAATTCTGTCATTATTGTTTACCCACATGAGATTCCGAACTCTTTTCCAAGTTCATTGCTATAAAATTCTCATTGTAGGGTGAACCATTCTTTTAACTGAGACTCCTTTTTAAGAAGGCTCTCCTATTTAATCTGTCTAAATAACAGCCATGCAGTATACTAACAATCCAATTTAGAAAAGATTAGGGAACGACTTCTCTGACTAAACATGTCTGTATATACAATAAAGTAAAAGAGCTGGCATCTTGTGTTTTTAAGAGTGACCACAAATACCTTTAAGACTAAATGGTATGCCACAGTTCCTCTCTATTTTTTATAGAACTAGTGGCTAGACTTTCAGAGCTACAAGTATCAGAACTGTTTAGGTGCTATTATCAGAACTTTTAGGATGTTTCACTTGAACAATCAGATTTGAGAACTGGACCTTAGTGTTCTACAAGTGTTCCATGTAGTGAATTTTACAGATTGTTTTCAGAAAATGCAGATGAAAATAGTTTGAAAAGTCAAAGGTATAAGACTGTTCACTTAAATGTATTATTCACTCAAATAAAATAAAAATTCTACCATAAACTATACATTTCTCCTACTGTAGAAGTAGATACCAGCAACCAGCTTTCTTCAAAATATCTTCCAACAGAAGAACAAAAATGCTAAAGGTTTAAAACCACACGAGGGAGAATGAATGATAAGGTCATTTAAATTTGGGGGTGAACTATGCTTTCAATAGCTTTAATTGGAGAATGAAGTTTTCTACTAAGTGTTTTCAGTTTATTTACAGTTGTGAAATGCATTATGGGAGTTTTATTTCAGATCTATCAATTTTTGATGTTAAAAATTCAATAATTATTATTCCGATATTGTTTAAGAAATGATATAGAAAAAATTAAAATAACAGAAAAAGTAGAATTAACAGGAAAAGTACTGGCAGTTTATTACCAGGTTTATGCACTGTAATTTACAACACAAACACAGAGGATATATCACTTTAAAATTATTAGAAAAATGAAAACAAAACTCAATTTTTAATATTAAAAGCTTTTGAAGGAAAAATTAAGATCCTGTAATGCAATTCAAAAGTATAAATAAGTAAAAAAAAAATAAAAATAAAAAAGTACATAAAACTGCTAATTTAAAGATTTGCTATACACTGTAGAAGTGCACAATTTAATAAAAAATAATGATGAATTTGTTAATTTGTTGGGGATGAAAACAATATTTCAATTCAGAAAACTCTGCATTTTTAATCTGTGACATGGACATAGACCATGTGGTGACAGTCTGGCCTGAACTCACAAAGAAACGTAAGTATTTTACATTTTGTCAGTTTAGTGGATAATTCGTACAGTATGAGTTCAGTCATATGAAAATGTACAATTTTTAAAAGAACTGTCATTGGAGTATAAGCAAATCGTTTAAAATGGTATGAATGAGATCATATGAATTCATACAAAATAGCCACTAAATCAAAAAGTTACGAATTGCCATGACATCCTGTTGGACAGTCACACGACACAAAGAACAAACTATGTTATAACTCAGGCCAGGGGTTCTCAAACTCTGGAGGGCCAGTGTCTAGTTTAGTTCCAAGTTCCAACCCCAATCACATACCTGGACTAGCGTATCAAGTTTTTACTAAGCTTTCTAGAAATATTCTTGCAGGTGTGTTGAAGCAAGTTGGAGCTAAAATCTGCAAGACACCAGCCCTGCAGGACAGAGTTTGAGAACTCCTGTTATAACTCAATATGAAAAAACTTATGTAAATATAAAAGTCTCTTATTTATTGTCTGAAAAGTACTTTATATGTGCAAATCAACCCAACACTTTTTTTATTCATGTCCACAACTGAGGCGAAAGCAGTACATGTAAATGTGGCAATTCAAACTATTTAAAAAAAACATAAAATAATGTGTAAATGCAATCTAAATCTCTGACTTGTGGAACATTTAGACACAGATAACAATTTCAATACAATTTCAGCTGTTGACTTATTTCTTAAATAAAAATAATGCTAGTGGCTTCTGCAAAAACATACACCATAGATTTAAAATCTCTGAACTCCTGACAGATCTTTATTTAAAGATCAAAAAGTTATATGCTATAAACAAAATTCTGTATGGAAAATGAAATGGAGTACGAAGATGGACGGAGAACCCAGCTATTTCACACTATAATATAAAAATTACAAGTAGGTCGAGGAGGAGAAAAACCAAGTAAACAAAAGCAAAATAGATGATAAACAGAGCTGCCTTGTAGGCACTGTGTAAACATTTTTTTACAAACATGACACATTATAAAACTGTAAGCTCCACCTGTCGCTGAAGGGAAAATACGAGTGAAGAATGATGAATGCAGAGCAAGACTGTACCAAATGACAGTGACAGTAGACGAGTTCTCTAAACAACACAGAGCTGTGTCATTATTTAAAACATACTCCGATATAAACGGCATCTTGTCTGCTTTCATCTCAAACAACATGAAAATGAAGAATTTTTGTAAATGTAAACGCTGTTCACTTACCTGTCACTAAACATACAGCTGCCTGCCCCATTTTTGACTTAAAAGTAATGTCAAAACCCAAACTTTTCTTTCGTTTCTTACATCCTCCATACACTTCAATCATACACTTGCTCGGAAAGCATTCCTTCTAATCCATGCATCTAAAACCATCACTGTCACAAAATATCCTCTCTCTCCTGCTCCACATCAGAGAATTCTGCAGGAGTTGGATCTATAACGATTTGCTTCCTCCAGCATAGTGGGAGCAATAAAGATGCAATGAATTCCTTAACCCACATCTTCTGGGTTAAAACCAATCAGGAAGAAAATGCTTCATTTATTGTGAAAATTACATTTCTTATTTCCGGAATGTAGAATTTTAAAAATATGGCTGCTCTCTTGTTAAAAATTTAGCTTTGTCACACTTCACGCAAGACAGAAAAGCATGTACTGTTCAATTTTAAGTTCAAGGTCATAAAAGACTAATAGTACAAGTATACGTACAGTCAAGCCCGAAATTACTCAGGCCCCTGTATGTGAAAATATGCAATGAGTTTCTTTTGAAAAGTTTATTACAAAAATCGAAAAAATGCAAAAACATTTAATGAACCACTATATGTTTCAACAACTAAATGTAAACCTTTTAAACGTTACTAGTCATGTTGTACACCGTACATTTTGTTTAGTTATTATTATTAGAAGCATTAGAATGGTCAAACGAAGAGCATCAATACACATGCTATGATAAATATTAGCATTCTACTCTGTTTCTACTTATTATATGAGGAAATCAAATATGATACCCTGAATTCAGCCAATCATTGCATTCCATCTACATCCCACAATGAAATGCACTCAACCTGACCTTTCATTTCAACTGATAAGCTGAAAATAATATCAGCCTCTATTTTCTACACCTTGTTCTTGACTTGCTTAAGTTTATATCCAGAGCTACTATGATCCAGCTATTTTTCAAAAATGATATTAAGCCTTTGGTGTGTACAGTATGTATTATTTAATTTAAAAGCTGCATTTCTTCTCATTTATAAAAAACTAATTTCTGTTTTCTACAAAAAAAGAAGAACTATATTTTTATACGAATTAAGCAATTAACTATTTATATAGCACCTTATTTCAACCATGAGGATGCCCTGTAAAGTGCTTTACAGTGATAAAAACAAAATGTCGGTGCCAATAGCCTGGTTAAGTGCGTCGACATATAGCACCATGGTGCTCATGGCGATCTGAGTTTAATTCCTGGCTCGAGGTGCTTTGACAACTCTTCCCCTCTCTCTGCTCCCAATACTTTCCTTTCTGTAACCTCCACTGTCCCATACCAAATAAAGGTGAAAAAAACCCTAAAAATATATATTAAAATAAATAAATAAATAAATAAATAAATAAATAAAGCATCAAAACACATCAGATGGTAAGAACACAAGTGTCAATAAAGCATCACTTTGTACTATGGAATATCAAAAGCAAGTCTAAATAAATAGGTTTTAAGTTTAGATTTAAGTAGTGACACATTTGTGATAATGCATAATAAAGTTCTAACGGGAGGGTTTTCCACATTGTTCACCCTATTGCTTATACTTGGATATGGGGACCTCCAGCAACATAAATAAGAAGATGCAAGACCCTTTACTGCATTAAAAACAAACAACAACAGTTCAATCAAAGTGTATGGTTAAAATATTAGCAACTTTATTAATACTTTGGTCTGTCCAAATTTGGCTATGCATCTGTCAAATCATTTAATTACTTATTCAACACTTTCTTATAAACACTCCATGTTTCAAATATTGTGCAATTCTGAGTATGAAGTGTCTCATGCACGTTAGTGGGCTTTACAAACCACCAGTAGAACACACACTCGTTCCCGTCTGTGTGTGTGTCTGTGCATGCACACGTTTATGCATGCATAAGTGCGTTTATAAAAAATAGTTTTTTTCAGCTCACAGCAAGGACCATGCTGTGATCTGATTTGAGCAGAACACAATCACATACAGTATGAACACGTCATGGAATAAACAGCTCAAAACTAATGAAAAAAATAAATAAATAAACAAACAAATTAGTAAATGCTGGGGATTTGTCTGTCTTACACAAATGAAGATGTGCTACAAAGAGATGCATTTCAGACACAAACTGTAACTGTGAAGAGAAAAAAAAAA